TATGGGGGATTCTATAGGGGACTACAATAGGGGGGTATTTATAATCTAAATTCCTCAAGGGGGATATTATAGTGGATTATAGCAGGGACTACAATAGGCGGGGTATTTAGGGGGATACTAGGAGTTTAGACTATAGGGCATGTGAATCCTAAATCCTGCTCTAGGTTCGATGGCCGCGAGAACCGCTACGTCGACTATCCCATCCACGATGTGCAGCTTGTCGAGTTTGTAAGTTGACTGGGGTTCTGCATCCCTGAGAAGCCTAAGCCCCAAGAACCTTCAGGCCCTGAACTCTAAATCCTAAGATTCCTCAGAATTCTGAATCCTGAGATTCCTCAGAGTTCTGAACCCTAAGCCCTATACTCTGAGAACCTGACAGTTTTAGAGCCTTACATCCGACTAACCCAGCACCCTCAAATTCTCAAGTAGAAAGTCATAAGCCGCTGAAAGCCATAAGCCCCAAACCGTAACAGCCAAAGGAACCTTGAAAACCCTCAGAACCCCAAATGCTACGTATATGTCCCCATATATCCCTTTCTATCCGCATATGAGACCCTTACCCCCCAAGCCCTTAACCCCCAAACCCTAAACCCTAAACAGCAAACCCCTAAACCTTAAACCCTATATAAACCCAAACCCTAAACCGCAAACCCCCAAACCTCAAACCCTGTAAAGACCCCAAACCCTAAACCCCTAGTCCAAGGCTGCAGATGATGGGACGAGCAAGTCGACCGGGCATCGATCAGTCCGGTATGGTTGTGCTGCTGACCCAGAACTCCAAGAAGGACAGGGGGTTTGAATGACTTGGTTTAGGGCTTAGGAGTTAGTAGTTTCGCTGAATAGGGGGGCACCCAGTCTCGACTTGAAAACCTAGAAGCAGGATGGGGTTTGAATCGCATGGTCTAGTGTTTAGGATTTAGGGTTTGAGGTATGGCCGTAGGGTTTAAGAACCACAGTGTGGGTTTGGGGCTTGCCTCAGAATCCAGACCCTAAACCCTAAACCCTAAACCCTAAGCCTTGCAGGTCCAGAGGTCTGAGAAAGATGGTTTCAATCCCACGGTTTGCGTTGCAGGGTTACTTGGAGGTCCATGGTACTTATAACCTACTTAGTAACTGTAGTTATAACCCACTTATATCTAGGGTAACTGTAGTTATGGGACTTATATTTGGGTTATAACTATAGTTACTAAGTAGGTTATAAGTACAATGGACCTCCAAGTAGTCATGACAAGGACTGTTCAAATTCCACGGTTGAGCTTGTAAACCAAGACTTCAAGACCCTGAACACTGTCTAATATAGGGGCTTGAATATTTAGTTATATTATGGCCGCCTCATATTCCTTCTAGAATTATGGTCTATGGTACCTCAGATGGACCTCAAAATGAAAATAAGATCTTTGTAGGGTTTCTGGCTCATAACACTACACCCTAGATTTAGGCTTCGGGTCGGGTCTGATCCATGTTGTGGAGTTCAGCGCCCGCACGCTTGGCAAACCTGCAAGGATTTCGGGGTTTTAGGGTTTAGGGTTTGGGGTTTAGGGAAGCTGTGGGAGTGCGAAGGTTGCAACCATGGGTAACCTAAAGCCCTAAACACTACACCCAGGGAGATAGATGGACCCTAAACCCTAAAGCCCTAAAGCCCTAAAGCCCGAAGCCCTGCACCCAGGGAGATGGAGAATGGAGCATTCAGAAATATGACGGGTCTCACGGATGCCCAGTATTTTTCCTGTGAGGCCTCCCTGTGCTGGCCTCTTTGGGGCCTTGTACTTGGAGGTCCATGGTACTTNNCTGTAGTTATAGCCCAATTATATCTAGAGTAACTGTAGTTATGGGACTTTTATTTGGGTTATAACTATAGTTACTAAGTAGGTTATAAGTACAATGGACCTCCAAGTAGGGGTACAGTAACGCGAACTACCCCAACTCTCAAATGAGCCATAATCTAAACTCCTTAAAGGGAGGTTATATAAGGGATTATATAGGGGACTACTATAGGGGTTATTGAGGGGGATACTAGGAGTTTAGACTATAGCTCAAATAAGTTTCCTTTCCTAGCTATGGTACCATGCAGCGATAGCGCGGATTAGACGTCTTTAAGGTCTTACCACAGAATCCGTATTGGCAGAGGTCTATGTCAATATGTTGGGGCTCGCGATATATCAAACTCAGAGAAGTCCCACGTGTTCCCAAAACCCGCAGCTCTGCAAACCTAAGCCCTAAACTGAGAGTCCCGCTGAAGTAGATAGAATATGGGCTATATGGGGATATTATTACAACATACCCAAAGCCATATTCTATCTATTTAAGGGGGACTATACCATTTTTGAGCAAGGAATGCAGGAATGGATCCTCATACAGGGGTAGGCTTGATCTTTTCCAATTTCTTTTTTATTACCTTCAATCCCTATATGGGGGTTCCCCGAAATTAAGGGTACCCTTCTGGGGATACCTATTTGTATAATACGGACTGTAGTATTTTGGGGTCTACACTGGGGTCCCGCTATTTCAGGAAACTCCCATATACTCCTTATAAAGCCATAAGACTTGATGGTTACCCGGAACCCACACCTACCCTGGCATAGTGGTCCCTACATCCTCCCCAATCTTGTAGTAGTTTCCATTTTCTAGTCTTAGCACTAAACCTTTAACCCTAAACCCGACATAGTAGTTCCCATTTTCTTTTCCATTTCCCAATATATACCTTATATACCCTCTCCCCCTGCGAGGAGTACTACAAGAAGTTCATCTACGAGCCCCTGCCTGTCGAGAGCCATCTCGACCAGAGGACCCAGGGGGGGACCACAGCGCAAACACACGAATGGGACACCTAAAGGTCTGGGCTACCCTAAACCCTAAACCCCAAACCCTAAACCCCAAACCCTAAGCCCTCATAGAACTTTTGCGACTCGGGGTCGGCGTTGAGGGCTGCGTACAGGAGGAGTCCCCATTTTGGGGTTCTGTAAGCCGCACACAACCCTAAGCCCGAAGCCCATTTTCTTCTCCATTATCCTCATATAACCTGTATATACACTCCCCCAAACTAACATGGAAACCCATAGAGTCCCCTTGTAGAAGGCCGTAGTCTTTATAGGGTTCTTTTTGGGTTTCCATGTTAGTTTCCGGGAGTGTAATCCTTATAGTCTTGACAACTACCAGATAGTTGGAGTTCAAGTCAAGCTACTCGAGCAGCGCACCTTAGGTATTCGGGTTTAGGGTACTAGAAGCTAGTAGCCCATAATTATCGCCTACCTTAACCTCCTTTGCTACCACAGGTCATGACCTAGAAAGCTAGTAGCCCATTATTATTATTATTGGTATTGTTATTTCTATTATGATCTACTTTCCCCAGATTCAATTTCCTACCACTTTGGATCGAAATTAGCCCGAAATTTTAAAACAGAGCCTCCTAGCCCCCTGATGGTTACTTACTCATCCTAGCCTTAAGGCCAAGTTCCCAGTTGGGATAACCCTAAACCCCAACCCTAAACCTTAACCCCTAAACCCTAAACCCTAAACCCTAAACCCTAAACCCCAAACCCCAAACCCCAAATTCCCAGTGAGGGGTTGCTCCAACTTGTAGCCGCCTTTAGGCTCCCTAAGCCCTAGGCCCTGATCCCTAAAGCCTGGGTTTAGGGTTTTAGGGTTTAGGGTTTTAGGGGTTTTAGGGTTTAGGGTTTTAGGGTTTTAGGGTTTTAAGTTTTTAGGGTTTTAGGGGTTTAGGGTTTTAGGGTTTAGGGTTTTAGGGGTTAGGGTTTTAGGGGTTTAGGGTTTTAGGGTTTAGGGTTTAACTTTAAACCCTCAACCCTACACCCTAGACTCCTAAACCCTAACCTTACACCCTCAAACTCCTAAACCCCAACCCTACACCCTGAACCCCACACCCTAAACACGACACCGTAAGCTCCTAAACCCTAACCTTACACCCAAAACCCTACACCCTACACTCCTAAACCCTAACCCTACACCCTAAACCCTGCACCCTAGACTCCTAAACCCTAGCCTTACACCCTAAACCATGGGCTTTAATGAAGCTCAACTTAGAAAGGGACCTGGAATGTTGCAAGTGTAGAAGTTCCGTGGGGACCTTGCCTAAACCATCCGGCAAGTCAGGTTCTGTGCCGTAATGACCTACGGTTTAGTGTTTAGGTTTTAGGGTTGAGGGTTTAGGGCCGGCTTAGCGTTGAGGGTTGTAACTAAACCCTAAACCCCGTTTGGCAACAGGTCAGCCAGCCCCTCCAACCTCACCATCCATTTGCACTTGGATGATCTTTTGCTGAGCAGGTCTACCTACAGGGGGGGGGGGGGGTACCATTTTGAGGATCCCCATGAGAAGGACTATAGTATTTTCGGGTCTATATTGGGGTCCCCTTTTTTGGGAATCTACCACTTACTTTTCCCAACAACCCCAAATGTAAGCTGTACCTAAACCCTAAACCCTATCAAGGAGTTTTACTAAGTCAGGAGATCCTCCTCCAAGAGCCCCTGCTAGCAAGGTAAGGTTCTAAAACAGCAGGTCCCGAGACCCTCATTCAATAAAAGGGCTTGGGTAACTCCAACTCCCCCCAAATTAGGGGTTTATGACTATCAGACGATGGTTATAGGGTCCTTATGTTGGGGTTTGGGGTTACCAAAATCCCCTTACTATAGTTGTGTCCAGAATCCTGGTAAATCCTAAGCCCTAAAGGCCTGCAGTCTGAGCTCTGAACTCTAAACCCTCAACCCTAAGCCCTAAACCCCTACACCCTAAATCCTCAACCTTAGACCCTAAATCCTAAGACGTAAACCTTAGACCCTAATCCTAGGCCCTAAACTCCTAAACCCTAGATCCTAAAGCCTAAAAACCTAAGCCCTAAGCCATAAGCCTGAAACCCTCAGCCCCAAACCTTCTACGTTAAAGCCGACGCCAAAATCCTGCGGCCTCAAGCCTAAGCCTTGGGGACCGATTTAGGGTTTGGGGTTTAATTAGGGTTTAGGGTTTGGGGTTTAGGATTTAGTGTTTAGGGTGATTTTAAAGCTCCTCTTCAAACCCTAATTCCAGATTCTAAGTCCTAACCCCCAAACCCTAAACCCTCGACATCCTGATCCGTCCTCATTTATCTTGAGGTATCTCCCCATTTCCCTACACCCCCCGCCCAGACATCCCTGGATTATATACCCCTGTAGATCCAAGCTTCTGGGCTTCCGGAAGGATGGCCGATCACATGAACGCTGAGATCGTCATGAAGACCATTGAGAACAAGCAGGACAGCCTACCCGTCCTCACACTTAAGAGTTTAAGGTTTAGGGCTTGGGGTTTAGGATCTACGGTTTAGGGAATATGACTTAAGAGTTTAAGGTTTAGGGCTTGGGGTTTAGGATCTAGGGTTTAGGGAGTATGTGCTACAGGAAATTTCTTCGAGGGTCAATGGGAGGTTCACAGGGAAGTAGCTGGGTTGACTTCACTGTAAAGGAGGGTTAGGAGCATACTTGCTAACTCTCCTGAGCCCCCAAGTAGGATTACCCAATATGGCTTAAAGAATATAACCCTATACATAAACCCAAGTTACCTTTCATTGTCCATCGTCTTTTCCATTTCGCTCTCCATTTGCGGGGTACTATCCCCGTATAACCCCGCTATTTCAGAAACCGTAAGCCCTGCACCCTAAATTGCATGACTTTACAGCTCTCTGCGAGGATGCTGTCGATTGGCTCACCTGGACGTCACGCAGCTCCAATTGGGGCACCTGTTTGGGCTTACGGTGTAGCGTTTTTTTGGGGTTTCATTCCGGGATTAAGTAGGGGTCACTTTGAGGAGAGAATCTACTGTTTGCGCTTTTCGTTCAATCCTAAACCAATCATCCTGGTGGTTCGTAGGGAAGGAGGGATTATAGTCCCTACAGAATCCCTACGTAAAATATTTTAAGCCCTAAACCCTAAACCCTTAAACCCTAAACACATATGCGGAAGGTTTCCGGGTTTTGACTCTTAGGGTTTTGTGGGTTTAGAGCCTGAGATTTCAGGATGTCGGGATCCCGAAGAGCGAGGGGTCCCTTTTTGGTTTAGGGTTTAGGGTTTAGGGTTTAGGGTTTAGGGTAGAGTATGAATCCTAAATGCGAACATTTTCGGCCCTTAGACCCTTGTTTTTCCTTCTCATGCTCCATATATGAGGTTTTCCAAGAACTAGGGGCCCGTTTTGAGGCTCTCGATAAAAGGATTATAGTATATGAAGTACAGCGTGGGGCTGCCTAATCCCCTGTTAAACTCAAGGCCACTTAGGAGTGACTGACTCTTACAATAGATCCCTATCCCATTACCTTCCATGCCCTTTTTATCGTCCGCATATACCCCCGATACAACTAGGTAGTCCTTACATTGCCCCCCCCCCCAAAACCCTAAGCCCTAAGCCCTAAACCCTAAACCTACCCCCCATACAATCTATAGGGGTCCCAATTAAGCGTCCCTCCCAAAGACCCCAAGTAAATCCTCAACCCTTCAGGGTTTAGGGTTTAGGGTTTAGGACCCTAGACCCTAAACCCTAAACCCTAAACCCTACATGTTTGAGGTTCATCTCATGGCAAGCCTAGGTTCTACTACCGGCGCCTGTCGCAGAATCCGAGCCTTGTCATTTTCTTGTTTCCGTCCTTGTGGTTTGGGGAGGGAGGTGGGTTGAGGGGTTTGGGTTTGGAGGATAGTCAGCAGGGAAAGAGGAGAGAGGCATCTACATATTTATGTAGATACATATACACAAATAGACATACATAGACATGTATCTACAGATGTGAGCGGTTTAGCAAGTTTTTTTTTCTGCGGGGGGGGAGGGGGGGGGTGTTTAGGTTTGAGGAACTAGGGCTTTAAGAGTTTCATGAGTATGCAGTCCCCACAAAGGCTCTTGAAAGGTTCAGCTATCTTGGGGGCCTTTTGGAACATCTAACCCCGGAAACATAGGAGCAAAACTCCTCCCTACACCCTAGACCTTGTAGCCCCCTTAAGTAGATAGAAGATGGGATATGTGGGGATCTTATCATAATACGCCCAAAGCCATATTCTAGCTACTCAAAGGGAACTAGAAGCCCTAAACCCTTAACCCTTCTCCTCGCAGCTTCTAGTGCTCAGAGGTCTTCCTAAACCCTAAACTTATGTGGGTGGGTGGGGGTCCACCCAGTAATAGTGAGTTTAAGGAATGAGGGTGGTTATGTTGGCGTAGAACCCGGACATGACAGCTGCTGATTTGGAAGCCACGAAGCAGGCGTTACCCTAAACCCTAAACCCTAAACCCCTAAACCCTAAACCCTAAACCCTAAACCCCTAACCCTAAGCCCCTAAACCCCTAAACCCTAAACCCCTAACCCCCTAACCCCCTAAAGAGCAGCTCGGTGGCTTCCCGCGCTGGGGAGCTGCGCAAGCTGCCGGCGGCAGCACCGCCTGGAGGACGGCACGACTTGCCTTCCTGTCTGGCCGCTTTCCTGGGTGGCTGTTAAGGAACTTAAATGAAGTTACCATAATGGGTATATATAGGGATAATGGAAAAGGAAATGGAAACTACTATAATGGGGTTATTTAGGTTTTAGGGTTTAGGGTTACCATAATGGCCTATAATGGAGAATCAAATGGAAAAGAAAATGGAAAATGAAATGGAAACTGGGGAAATATAGGGATTTAAGGAACTTAAATGAAGCTACCATAATGGCCTATAATGGAGAATCAAATGGAAAATAAAATGGAATATAGGGTTTAGGGTTTAGGGTTACCATAATGGGTAGATATAGTAATTCATATGGTTCCCCCAATATAGTAACTTAAATTAAGTTCCTTAACAGCAACCCAGTATCGCAGCCATGAAGGCCCAGTGCAGGAGCTCCTAGACGATGCGCCAGCCTGGCACAGCTTCGCCATATGACCCGACAAGGCGGCGTCGGCCAGCATCCATTCGTGACCATCTCGAGGGTCTGAAGGCAGCAGTCCATCCTTGCACAGCCGTTCAAATTTGATGGAAAGGAGGGTTTAGGGTTTAGGGAAAATGGAAAAGAAAATGGAAGCTACTATAGTATATTGGGGTTATATAGGGATAATGGAAAAGAAAATGGAAGCTACTATAGTCTATTGATGTTGTATGGTCTCCATGCCTGTGTATGTATATGTGTAAACAAGTACTTGGTCCGGCTCAAGCGGCGATACACAAGATTGAATTTCTATTCCTACTGTACCACATTTACTGGGGTGGCCGTCATGCTCAATCCTAAACCCTTACCCATGCTTAGCTGGGAGTTTGGGAGGGGATAGTTGTGGCCATTGTTTCTATGTGTTCTAGGCCGCAGAGGGTATAACCGGATTTCTATTGGTAATTTGTTGAGTTCTTGTTTACTAGGGCTTCGAAAGGAATGTAGAAATTGAATCTTTAATAGTATCTCAGTGTCGAACCAGATGAAGCCGAAACGAATACGCGGGTAAGCTGGCACTGGTGAGCGCTTCAGGGTTCAAGGTTCAGGGTGTTGGGGTTCAGGGTTTAGG